CCTTTCACTACCTATTGGAACATGGATTCGGCAATTGTTCTCCGAATGTTGAACTTTGTTTTTTGTTTTCTCTCCAGCCCCAGGCCTCGAACTACTTTAAATAGGATATTTTTATTCCGATGGTATGGGAGAAGAAAAGAAGAAGGATCGCACGTTGGGATATATATGTACATTGTATAATGGTTTCCGCATTGCACATTCTGCATCCATCTACAATCTCAGATAAAATGCCCAGGAAACGTAAAATGAAGCTTAACTGTCCCCCTCCATTTTCTCTCGGCGCTCACGCTTATGCAGGAACACCTCGGTGGAATATGTACTGTGGACCATCCAATCATGTAGCAGATGGTATATAATCTAGATGAAAAGGAATGGAAAAAGAAATACAAAAGGTGTGCGCTGCGCATGCTTCAAAGTATACTGTATCACCAACATTTGGTTGGAGGTCTTCTCCCAACAGGTTTTTAATCTACCCATTGTAACATGAATTGAATGTTACATGTATCCCAAGGCTCGGAAAAGGCAATTTTCCAGAAGAAGTAAGCCAAGGCATAATTCATTCATGGATATCTGTCACAGCTAAAGAAATATTTTCGGTACCTATTAACCCAAGCACATCGCACATCTGCAAGTCGTCACACAGAGCACATGCAGTAGCGTCTATGCGAGCATTCGGAGACTAAGGTTATCGTAAGACTAAAAAAAACCATACGCCTCGGAATCTCAATCCCAAAGCCAAGACCAAGAAATACCAGCTTACACATGGGTCGGTGATAAGGCTACAATGGTAACTTTCATCTGGCACTCGTATGGGCCGATATATCCTGTACAAGTACCTATTGAATGCTACCGCACTTCCAACTGTGAACAAATACGCGAAGGGCACAAATCCTAATGTTGTGTTCCGGTTGGCATTGTTACATACGTAGATAACGTATCGGGAGAAACGATGTTGGATGGTTACCAATAACAGTGTTTTGGGTTGTTGTCCATATTGTTTGAGATTACCGTAAAAATTAAATGGCCCAGTGTCTAGACCGACCCTGCTTGACCCTAGCGTTTCTATGTCCATAGTAATGCCTTTCCATTTCAAACCCCTCTAGATTCCAACATGAATATGACATAACAAACTAGACACCGCCCCCTCTTCGCCAAGTTCCCCGTTTTCCCACTCGGGGAAAGAAGGAAAGATCCCTTATGTATGTAAGCTGAGCTGGCCCAGGGTCTACTATCCGTAGCCGTAGGTCCGTCCCTGGAAGCTGAGTATTTCCCCTGATTCCTGAAACCAATGGAACATACAGCAACGTGTTATTGTTTACAGATGACGAAAATATATGTATACACTGAGGGGAAGCCTCGTACAAGACGTGGTGTAATTCTCGGCGAGCGATTAATGGATATACAAATCAAATACTCCCACTGATATGATCTTGCTGTCACAGCTGACATTTGACTTTGACAGACAAGGCGGTCCATGAATGAACGTGGAAATCACGACATAAACGAGTACTTGGGTCCCACCCAGCTCATGGCATTTTGCTACATTGCACGCGAGTAAAGGCGGACAGTCAGCCAGGCCTCACCCACCCACGTACAGACTTGTTGTAAGATCTTACTTCTCACCAGCATCATTTTAGCTTTCCGGGGGGTTTCGCATACCCAAATCGGATTTCAGGAGAAAAGAAATGGTTACCTCGCACCTGTTCGGCAAACACAACCTTTTACATACAGAGTTACTGTAGTTATCCGCAGTGATTGCAACCTTAAAATTCTGTGGTTGACCCGCTTTTAAACACTATTTTCTCACCTCTCCAGGTCCCTAGGTATATATAGTACCACCTAAAAATTGAAAAATCATCCCGGTATATCTGCAGAATCCCTGAGATTTATATCACCAGCAAGGATTAAGGTTGGTTTTCGCCTACTCCAGGATATATTTCTTACGAATGTGTACCGATGTACCGATGGGCGAGCAGGTTGTGCATACTGCGTAGGAGTTTGATTAACTCCGATGGACTATTGTACATAAGTAGCTAATGGATCACAGTCGAGTCTAGAACTGTTCCAAGTACTCGGGTCGGAGTCTCAGATGTCGCATCTAAGATGTAATACTAATGAATGATCGAGCGAGGTATATATGTATCAATTGTGGTGTTACGTTCTGCAGGCTCATGGTATGGTTTAAATTATTGAAGCACGAAGTCTGAATGATATAGGATATAGGGAAGGCCAGTGCATGTGCTATATCTCCTTCTGATGAAATCGCCAGTATGATACGTACCTTTCGCGGCTAATCAAACGATTTAATTTGAATATAGGTTAAGCAACAATATGGGACTTAAGGCTAAGTTCTTCGGGACTGTAGTCTTTACAACGGTTGTCCGGCATGTTATTCTTTAACCGTGCCGGAGAAACATCGACTTCTAGAACGGGAAGATCGTAAGTAGACGGTGGAGCAGTTGGTGAGTAAAATTTCAATATATTGTTGTCGAGTCATGGGCTGACGGGGAGGTGAAGTAGGGTAGGTCTTTATTGCTTGATGATTCTGAATATTGGCAAGGAAAGATTATGAATCTTTGATGCAAGGCGAATTTCTGCTACATATATTGGCAGGGTTTTTCTGTCAAAATGAAATTCCTCTCCGTCCGTGGTCCGATATTTGATAGCGATCTTGTACGCGGAAAAGTAGTGTGATGTTTAACGGAAGGAAGGAAGGCTGCAGGCACAGTCTAAATAGACGTTGGTAGAACTGCCGCAACGCTGCAGTAGAGACGAAGGGTACTTCAAGTCATCTATAAAATCATTGATTTAGGGATAAGGTTAACTAAGTATTGCGGTACATTGTAACAACGGGATATGTGTGTGCTGAGTGCCGCGACGTGACATATGCCTGAAACTATCGGTCGATCTCAACGAGGCCTGGTGGGCGAATAGTTTGATCTGCAAGAAATCTTCTTGAAGTTATACTGCAGGAGACATTTTCATATTCCCAATTGAATGACAGTGAAGATTTCCACACATAGTTAATTAACCCTTGAAACAGAGATGATAACGAAGGGAATTCCCAGCATCACGTGAAGGAGCTCGTATGATTACTGATCAAAATTTGGAGCCGACGTAGATATCCATATCATCGGTCATGCGAACAGCTATGCAGAAAATCAATCTGCGTCAAATACTTCTCTCAGGTTGGGTGATCATTGCCACTCAAATGATCCCCTTGCGGGTGCTTGCTAGCCCGTTAGTGGAGGAGTGATCTACTCTACTGTTACAAGTCATCCCTTCAACATGGCATTATCATTCATGCTATTATGCTTATACGATGGCTAGTAAACGTAGGCTTCGACGCTAAATTTACAACCAACGGGACATTAAATGTGGAAAGTTGCTGTGATATGACTTTGGCGTAGAATGGTGTGAGGATGGTCACAAAGAAATTCAACCTCTCAGCATGCTTGACAGCAATTTTTCCAAAGCAGCGGGGTCCCCCGGTACCTGGGCAAATGGGCTAGAACTGCTCATTGGTATTAGCTTGTAACCAATCATTTACTTTAGGGAAACTGTGGTACTGTAAACAACAGTTTGGACAAACGAAGATGCAGTTGGTCATGTAAACGTAAAGATAAGCAATGAGCGAGAACAACCTCGCCTTCATTATGATCTTTTTGGTTGTACGATGTAGTTGTTCTTGGTAGATGTGTATGTAGTAACCATTAATGATCGAACTGATGCATTTTAATTTCGCTTCCCTTTGCACGGTGACAAGCTAGAACTAAACCTACACCTACGTTCAGCCTCATTGCGTGGACAGAAAAGACGGAAGTGTGGCGAGATCGTGCTGTCAATCCCAACAAAATGTACACCAAGTTTGCAAAACGATGCGGTGTAGTGTAGTAGGTACTAAGTAATTTACTTTCGTATGGTGTGTTTGAGTGGCACGGCACGGGACGATATTGGTATAAATGATTTTTAAAAATACATAGCCTAGTCCTAGCACACTGGTAGATAACTTGGCCAGCAGCTTCTTTGCTTCCGCGGTAAGATTAACGGGTAAAAACGTAGAAGGAAAGGGGCATGACTTTGATGGTCCAGATAAGACTTATGCCATGAATTGACATTTCTTCGGACGGAAAGACAAGTAAACCGATTTCCGAGCCACCTGTCAACGTGAGCACTGAGGTCAACAACTTTGACATTGTTTTCAAATGTCTACGGAGTACTGTGTAGGCTGGCCTCCTAGGCTTGTCGTGTTTATTTAGATACCTACCGAGCTTTTGAATCATCGGATCTTCATCTCCTCATTAAAGTCCGGATCGCGTCTTGTTCTGTGGGTAATAATACGATCGCCACACTTTTTTTTAGGAAAAGTATGAAATTTCTTCTCCGCACCACGATCATATTTAAACTTTAGTACTTTACTACATATAGTAGACGTAAAGTACTCCCGTAGACTTCAATGTGATATTGGATATTTGACAAGGGGTGCGAAATAAATGCTGAGTAATCATGGAATACGACCTTACGCGCTACCTTCGGACCTGCATATTTCCACATGTAGGTGGGGTGGTGGACTGATGGACTAATGGACTAATAGCAAGTGAAATAGCTGTAGGCCTTATAAGCGAGAGAGTGTAAGTGACGGGAGTCAGTGAGCGGGATGGCTAACAACTCGCAAATTGCGAAGTTTTGATGAGCGGGAAGGAAGGATAGTAGCTAGTTGATTGATTCTACGGAGTAACTCTAACAGGAAGGAAGTGGACAAGCAACAATGCCTTCCTTGTCAATCCTTGAATTGGCACTTCTCTACTAAAAACCTTCCTCTGCTTCGGTTGGGCTGACTTCAATTCGGTTTTTTTTCCCTTGGATATTTCTCGTCCGTGCCAATCATATTTTGAAAATAGTCAATGGGCCAATGACACGAAGTAGCCATGGAGAAAGGCCTAATGCGGAAAGGTTGACTGAAAGACAGCAAGGCACCGTGGTCATTTTATCCTTGCAAAGGCAATCAACCCACCACAAACCAACACCCAATAATTCAGCCCATTAGCGAAAAATACTCATCACCAGCATTTCCTTGGGCTCAAAGATTTTCAACCACTTTTTAGCCTACCAATGGAATATCGTACACTCTCTTTCTCAATACAAGCCTCTCTCCAGTAACCCAATGACCCAATAACCCAGGAATTCCGTATTCCTTGTTCAAACATTATGTATTTTACCTCGCACGCCAAATGCTTTCTTCCAATTAAATCCTCAATATGGATTTATGCCCGTATTCGGTCAAGCACTAGTTGATAACTCAAGACTTCATCCGCGTCCTTTGCTGGCCGGAACACCTTTTTCCTCCAGGGATTCGTTCTACTCTCCTTCAAGGAAGGCATAAGGAGACACCAATCCTGGTTCATCATGGAAGAAGAGGGCCATCATGGGCAAGACCCTCGCGTGCTTCCCAAGCTACAAGACTCCACATATGGTACCTAGACTGCACTTATGTCGCCTTATACATATGCAAGCTGGAGTTCCCCATTTCTCGTCTCTATATCATACCAAAACTTTCCAGTTCTATTTTTGAATTGTCTCTCGCCCTTTGATATCATCTGAAATATTGTTAAAGCACCTGGCAATGGCCTCATGAAAACTATTGCACTACTATATCCCACGGGCCTAAGCACCACGAGCGCTCAAACATATTAATCTTTACTATCAATGGTTTCAGAATATACCATATGACGATTATAAACGTTTAACTTCCCAGTACTATATTTGACAGACGCAGGAGAACGTCACAACATCACCTAGTCTTTATTTTCTTCTGCTCATATATATATGACCGGCTCGGTTCGAGAATCAGCAAAGTTACACATCTGACTGTTGTCATCCTTGTTCAGTTTCGTGTTCCTCTCTTGCGGCTATTGATCTTCACTTTTTCAATGAACGTCTCTTCTTCAACAGTAGTTGGCCAGGGTCGGTGCCCGGTTCCGTTCCTCGAGGCAGATCTCTTTCCATCGACGGGTGGTTGTATGTCTCCACATTCTTCATTCCGCTACACCACGCTGACAACAGATAGTCCTGGATGGAAGGTTTTGCTCCAGCACTTTGGGAGTTTTTTGTTGCCTACCATGTCCTCAGAGCGAATGGCTCTACGGTGAAAGCATCAACACTCTGACAGAATCCGCCAATTGGGTCAATGTAGTGGCATTGATATGCTCTCTATATTTGTTGCTATGTTTCGCTTTCTTACCGGTAGAGAAGACTCATAGGCATTACCTTAGTATATGCTTGGTTATCGCTACAGTAATTTTGCAGGTGAGTTTATTAGTCTCGTCTCTTTCTACAAACTGTTTCCTAACATATCTTGTCAAAAGTTGGGATTTATCATACCATTAAGCGCGAAACCCGAACAATGCTACAACGCGATCACTCCAAATGATATGAGCACTAGCTTCACTTGTGCAATTTCCGGCGCACTCATAATGGCTGGAGGCTGGTCTGGTGTGATGTGGGTCTTCTTAAGGTCCCTCGCATTACACCTACAGATCTGCTGGCAGGTGGTTATTGGAAAATCATTCATGTTGGGTGCTTTTGCCACTGGGTGGGGAATACCAGCAGTTGCAATAACTTTCGGGATGATCTTCAGTGGTGTTTCCTTTCGATTCGGGAACACTTGCCATATTAACCACAAGAACAGTCTAGCGGATTTCTGGATTCCTCTTCTTCTTTTCTCAGGTGCCACCGTCATCATCCAATTCGTCACTTTTATTTATTGCATCAAGGTCTATCTTTCATCTCTCACAGATAGTTCAAGTAGCACGGAAAACTCGGGCGTTCTACCTTCGTACACTAACAGTGTTCGTACCGTCTCACCACGACAGGCATATCGTCGAGTTCGCCGGGTGATTGAGTTACAGTGGAGAGGTATCGCGATAGTATTAGTGATCGTTGCCGAAGTCATCTTCTTTGCGATCGTGTTTGTCTTCATGGATGATCTAGAAACGAATATCCTCAAGGATCACAGAAAGGCTGAACAATGGTTAACATGCTTACTTCAAACTGCTGGAAAAAAAGAAGAGTGTTTGTCTATAGCGAGTGATCTGGTCGTGAATGAAGCTACAGTCGGTGCAGTTCTCGTCTTGCTATCCGTTAGTTTTTTTCTATGCGCATCCTTGTTCTATTTGGGTGCTAACAAATTTTAGTTCAATGGTTTCTGGGCAGCATTATTCCTGGGAAGGAAAGCAATGTTCACAGGCTGGATTGAGATGTATCGCAGCAAAATGAGGCCTAACAATGAATTCGTTAGTGCCGATGTTAACGCTTTCAAGGATCCTAGTGCATACGAAATGCTTGATAAAAATCGAGACCAACGCGATAGCAAGACGATGGAGGCATGCGAAACTCCGGATGTTCTTACTCCCGTTTCACCCATTCGAAAAAGTGGTCGAGAAACACCAGACTACTTTGGCAGGGAAGCAAGATACAAATCACCATCGCGCTCATTCTCGAAACCCCACCCTCCCCAGTCATGGGATTCAACCACAACATTCGCTCTACCCATGGATGCATACAACACGAAAAAAATTTGATTTGGCAGTTCACATGTATTTTTCATTTATTTTCAAGCATTTTTAGCGATGTCTCAAAACATCCCTTAGTAAAGGGTTAAATAGGAGTTTAGTGGTATGGCGGCTTGGCTAGGGGGCGGAGTTCAACAGGGATAGAAAGGTTATCTCATTACACGCGAAACGAAAAGGGTTTCGGGAATTAGGACGTACCAAAGGCTGGAAAGGCTTGGGAGGTTTAGATCACCTGCATGGACCTATTCAGATGCTAAAAGGAAACGGACCTGGAACGAATTCCTTCTCATTTGTACACGAACACGCCGGTTGGGTAGAAAAAGGACTTGGTCCGGTGGATGGGATATGGAGTCGTAGGATTAGGTGCAAACAATATCCAGGTACTCATTGATGGGCAAAAATGGTCATCGGACTCAATATTCCCATGGGACCAATGCTGCTATATTGGTAATAGAAGGTTTGCCAGCTGAGGCTTCAAATTAGGTGTGGTATTTATCTGGCCGGCCTATATAATGATCTGTATGTTACTGATGTTTATATTGTATTATGATCGCATCAAATCAAAAATATTCAAACCAGTTATTGAGTTTTTTGTCTTATTACACAATAATTGCCTTCTTTCAAATCACTGCAACTTTAACCTCCACTTACAGGATGATTCATCTCATCAGAATCCCTGTAATAGGAAATCTTTCGAAAAGAAGCTGCTGCTCGTGGATTGATAGCCCTCTTTAGGCCTAGACATCACACGTCTAGCAGATTTTAGCTTAGAGCGGCATTGAATAGCTCTCGGACTTTATTCACGCAGCTTAAATATGAACGGTTCGGGAACTAAATCGTCTTGTAAGAATGGCAGGGAAATACTGTTATCTTGCCCTATTACTTGTAGCATATATATGCTCATTGCTTTCCCCGCCTTTGACCCTCTATATTGGTTGAGGGTTTATGGATCAAACTCATCAGTGTAGGCACCACTTTATTTAAAGGGTTGGCCAATGTAATCATAGAGTAAAATGCGATTATTTTCGATCACTTGTTGTGAAGCTGGCAATTAGTATGGTATTAGTTATTTCCGCAACTGATATATACTTATTTTAATGATATATATTGAATTATTTGATGATTGTTTTATTAATTACTGTTGAAATTATGTATTATTGAGAACATTTTTAAATACTAAAATTTATAATTTGAAAATATTCTAGTGAAGCAGATCTAATCAAATATTTTTGATTATTTTAAATCTAGTAAGATTTAAGAATATTTTTAAGATATACAAAGTCTGGTAATTAAAATATTATTATTACTATTATGAATAGTTATATATATAACCAGGGGCCTGCGCCCCCCCGGACCCCTGGCTTTTTAAGAAAATCTTTTGAAAAGTTCATAATAAATTTAAATATTGAATATATATTAAAGTGTAGACAGAATATCAATTTGTTTTTGATAATTACAAATCAAATTTTTTTATTTAAAAGTAATAATTATAGTATTTATAATAATAATAATTGTTTTATTATTATTATTATTATTATTATTATTATTATTATTATTATTATTATTATTATTATTATTATTATTATTATAATAAGTTAAATGAGATGAATTGAATGAATAGAGTTGAATTGAATAAATAGAGTTGAATTGAATAAATAGAATTGAATTGAAAAAAGCTCTAAGTTAGATTTGTCTAAGATTTTAAGGCTTATGCCAAGCTTTTTGTTAGATTTTTTACCGGGGTATTTTAGACCAATCAGATTGTCAGGATCGCGACTCATTTCTCGACCAATTATATCGCAACCTTAAGCGAACCTCATTTTCCATCACCCACCGGGTAAACCTCGTGTACAGCAAGGTTATAAAGTCAGCAAGCCGATAATAAAAAAAATCATTATTTTAACCTTCAATATCTCAATCAATAAAATCATGAAAAATCTGAAAATTAAATTATCTAATATTAAAATTTCATCTTAATCTAAACCTTAATATCATATCAAAGCTTTCTAAGATAATAATTATGAATATAACTAAAATTGATATTTAATCTGTAAGATTTCCTAATAAGTTATTAAATCACTTAATAATATTAGCCAAACCGATGATCGGATGATCACGTGATATATTAATAATATTCATATATATTACTAAATTTTATTGTTATATGAAAATTTAATTATAATCATATCAGATTGATTTATAAGAGAATAAAATGAAATAAAAGTGTATGGAATTTCTTATTCATCAGATTAAATATTATTGTTTATTATTTCTTTTTATTATATAAAATGATTCTATAAGATTTGATTCAAATTGATCTTATTATTAATTATAGAATATACTAGATCTTATTAAATACTATAATATAAATACAAAGGTTTTCTTCAAAGAATCCTTTGAAATTACAAAACAGAAAAACAATAAAATCTCTACTTTACTATTCTGACTTCAATTTATAATTGTATTCGACTTTACTCTATTAAGCTTAAACATAATTAAGTCTTTCACTACTCTTATAATAATTATTATTTATTATCGATTAACCTCCTCTGAGACAATCTTATAAAACGAAAAGATTGAAAATAGTCTTTAAAATCAAAAGAAAAAAAAATCTATTTAAAAAATCTAAATCTTATAAAGAAAAAGATTAAAGAAAATTAAAATTTATCAAAAAATTAAAATATTTATTATTTAAAAAGAAAAAGAAATTAAAATACAAAAGAAAACTAATAAAAAAACTCAAAAGAAAATGAATTATTAAATTGATAAGATTTTAAAAAGAAAACAAAAAAGATTTAAAAATTCTTAATTTCTTCTTTAAAAAAAATTAAAAAAACTTCAAAATATTTTTCCTTTATAAATCTAACTTTTAAAGAGATTATAAAACTCTTAATTGTAAAAATGATTAATAATTTAAATAAAGAAAAGAAAAAATAAATATATATAGAAAGAACTAATAATAAATCAAAATTTCATTAAAATTTCAAATTTAAAGTTTTTATACTTCTATTTAATAATAATATATCTTTTTATTAATAAAATAAAATTCTAATTTTATATCTTTTAAATTTGAATTATTATTAAATTTTGAAATAATCATAATTAGAAGTATATAATATACAAGATATAAGATTGTATAAGATATAAGAATGTTGGTTATTAGAATAATTAAAAAAATTTGAAAAGTTTATAATTGTAATAAACAATTGAAGTCTCAAGAAAATATAAAATACTTTTTAGAAAAGCCTTTTAAAATTGATTTAGTATTGATAATTTTAGTTTAAATTTTAAATTTGAATTCAATAGTATTTGTCACGGACCTCGTATAAAGGACGATCACGTGATTCCAATTGATCGACAATTCCTATCGGTGAGCTGATAGTCTGTGCACATTTTTTCCAAATTCACCCTTTTTAGTATGGCATTATGATCACCTTAAGGAAGAAAGCGCACAACCATGCAGCTACCGTATAGGTATTTTGTATATATATATGGATGCTCCCTACAAGCTATAGTTCTTCAGTTGTAGATTCTAAGGAATATAATTGACTCTGTTTATTCAGCTCTTATAAGGCTCTTGTACATCACAGTATTCTTTTAAAAACTATTTTAAATTCATAAAATCAAAATATAATTTGAATACTTTTTAAAAGTATTTTTAATTAAATTTGATCAATTTTAGATCCGGTTATTTTATTAAGAAAATTAAAATTAACAAATAATATTTCTAGGAAGTATATTTTGCTTTTTTAAAACATGTACCACTATCATCATGGCCTTTGATTATTGAATTGGATAAATATACAGACTTTCATCTCAAAATTAACTTGTTTCATCAAGTTTCAATTTGAAGCGTAAGAATCCCAAGCGCCAGAAGTTAAATTTGACAAATGACCACAACGAGTGTTGCCGATTGCTTCTTGATATTCAAAAACTGTAAAGCAAATTCTTCTAGTGTGTGCCACAATTGTGAGTGTATAATCAAGACCTACAAAAGCTGAAATTTGTATGTGGTTGAGTGATGAGGACTGCATAAAGCTTCAATAAGATAGATTTTCGGCCAGATTTACCCCAGGTTACCCCGGATATACCCTGCCTTTTGCGCAACCCTGTCTGCTCTCTCTTCCAATATTTTCATTCTCTCCTTCGTAAATATATCTGCTTTTTGCTCCCTAAAACCTTCAATGGGGTATGTAAACCGAACAATATTTTTTGGGCCAAGCCTAATTATCCCATGTTTGTTAGCAAGAGCAATCTAAAAGCAACAAATCTCAGCTTAACCTTGTTTACTTTCTTCAGATACGAGTTGTAACTTACGTGAAGTATGTACCGCCTTGTCGAACACTCTCCAGAATCACATTCCGAAAATCTTCATCCGCATCCTCGCCGTCAAACTCCTCCGCTCCAAATCGATGAACTAGCCACATTCTAAAAGTTTCCATATCTAAGTCCCTACACTCACCACAATACTCGTAAAGTGCTTCTTGGACTGATTGGTCGGACATGAGGTTATCCAAAGTTTCCATGTTGTCTTCGTCTGCCTCACTAATAAGTGACGTCCAAAATGTAGAAGATACAGAACTGGAAGGCGGCCATCCTGTTGGGATACGTTTCACTGTCCCAAACCCTGGAAATGGTTCCCATCTAGGAGGGCATAGGTTAATCATAACCATCTGACCATAAACTTATCATAGCAATACAAAGCATTTTAGAACTTACGAAAACAACTCTTGCCTCTCATTAGCGACACCCAGGAAGCTTCGAAACTCCATCGGTGTAAGATTGATACATCCATGGTCTCTAATATACCGGAAGAAAGTTGGTTCAGAGAGAATTCCCATACTATCTAATGCCAGGTCTAATGGTCCACGATTGCCGAATAAGTATTCGACGATGTCGTCCCACCTAGGACAAGAGTACGTGATTACGGGAGGATTTGTGTAGTTTTCAGCCTTCCTTACATCATATTGTCTAGTGAGTGTCTCTGATAGTCTGTTCTTCATTCTGGACCTCTCGGTTTGGCTCCTTGTCTGGGGTGGTCCATACGACCATCCACCGCCAATGTTAATACCGCTATCATCTACCCGGCTTTTTGCGTCAGGATGGTCTTCTGAGAGGAATCTCATTCCCAATTTCTCTGTTCCCATCTTTTTAGCTTCCGGACCAAATTCTCTAACATTTTCCCAAAAACCTTCAGTAAAGAGAGTTTTGTACCATTGTGTTGGCACGGGCCAATAATCATATGTGTGAAACTCATCAACCCGACCTCTCTTTGGTTTGAGATTCAATGGAGGGGCATTCCTTGATGTTTGGTAGGATTTATTTTTGTCGGTAAACCAGCTGGTTTTGATGATACCAAGATTAGGAAGCCCAGGGCCACCGCGATTATATACCTGAGTGATGAGAGGTGTGGGCTGACCTCCCCAGATCTGTTTCTGACGTTAGCATTCCGGGCTTTTTCCTTGTATATGGGGGCTTAAATTCTCAATGAAAGAATATCCTAGCTCTGCGAGAGGCTCATCTTCAAAATAAGGCTCATTCTCCCCCTTGGTCACTTTGTCATTGCAAACCTCTTCCCCATTAATGATGGATCTCCTTAAGGCATGCTAGCTCGCAATATAGATTAGAATAGAAGCCTCAGTTACTGAGTTACTGAGTAGCTAAATCCGCAAGCTTACTTACCGCAAACTCATGAACCAGTGTTGTACCGATTCTCAACCGATTTCCCATCCTGTGAACAGATCAACACGTGAACTATTCCCATGGCCAAACAACATACTTCTCAGCATCCGTCAAGTCGTCTCTTAATAGAGGCTGCGCCAGCTCTGTAGAAATTAACACCTCGATTCTATCATATACTGTATGATTCCTTGTTATTGCATTGCGGCTTGTACGAGAACAAGGCAGTCCAGTTGCAACATCCTCATATCCACTGTGAAATCCAAACATAACCTTAGATGTTAAATTACGGATTAGTGTTTCAAGGTGTCGAGCAAAAGAGTGGTGGATCCTTTCACTATGGGCCCTTGAGAAGAACCGTTGCAGTTTCATTCCTTCGGGGCTGTTGGGTACATCTTCATATCGGCCGTTGAGGAGTGCGTCTAGCCTAACAACCTAATCAGCCCGGAAATATTGTTGTTGAAGTTGGATGGCACATACCAGGAATATTTGCATTCGTTATGCAACATCAGTGTTGCTACCTGTAAGCAAGGTTTCAATAGGTCCCAGACAACAGGATTATTCGCCTAGTATAGAGGGAGCGTTAGCCTACACCAAATATGGGATTTAACCTGAGGAAATTTGAACTTCTTATGCCCGCATATACTTACCACCCAAAATCCTTCATGTTTCCCAAGAATTGGTATTGCCCCCTTATGTTTCGGCATGCAATCCTCTACCACCCATCTGCTTCTCTCAAAACAAGGATGAATAGGATTCTCAAGACTATGAAGGGAAACATTTGTGTCCAAAGCCGCCAAAGCTTGCATGCCATGAAGATCAAGTGCCGTGAAGCCATTTAATCTCTTTCTCTGATATGTATCTAGGTCATCCAAAATTTTCTTCCAACTGCGCCTCCTTCCACGTTTTCCAGGTTTCGAAATATTTCTCCGCGGTGTTAATCCACTTTTTCCATTATTACCTAGTATCAGATGATCGACAGATGCAAATTTCCCCAAGGGTTGGCTGTATTTCTTCGCAAGGTCTGTCCAACCAAGGGTGTAGCGAGCCTGCTCTCCTGAGCAAAGAAACGTAAAGATCAGTATCTATTAATTGATTTTGAGACAGATAGAAGGCTTGTATTTCCTTACTTGGTGATAGTAATTGACCTGTAGTATCGTAGCTGACCCTACCAATTGCTCTTGCCACATCTTCCAATATGGGCTGCGAGTCTGCCATGTCTCAGGAACTCCGTCACTACCAGTGTCAGATTTGTGTCAATCAACTGCAAAATCATGGAAGCCTCACATGAGGTTTAAAAAGAGTGTTATATAAGTGTATATTATTATGGAAAAGGGAATGATTGTCTTTAGAATTCGGCAGTTGTTACGATATTCCTTTGGATGGCAGTCCTTAGTTCCCAAAATTTTTACCTCAATTTGAAGATAAGAGTTAATTTCCGGGCATCAAATGTGTTTTGTTAATATCATTCTAAAAGGATTCAAGTAGTATTTTGTAATTCTTTGTCCAAGAACAGAGCAAATAATTATCACAAAGAACAAGAAGAAACGAAGGAAACTTATAATTGTGCAATCATTCAATGACTGAAAACTCGTCTCCAATAATAGAAGCAGTGGGATGAAATACAAACAATAACGTTCCGGTTTATTATGTTGTTTTTCAAATAACTGGAGGTTCAATAGCTCGTCCAAAGCTTTTATGTACCCTCATACTGTGAGAAAGTTGGAATTATAGGCCAAATACATAGAGGTTTTTAACTAGTCAATCACATGACCTCTTGTAGTTAGATATAAAAGAAGAGCTTTTTGCCTTTTCTTTTCACAATCTTCAACCTTCTACATATATACATTTGAACCCATATAACATCAACCCCAAAACCATTATAAACCCCGTTTTATCCATAAATGACGTATTACAATGTAATCTAATTCAGCTTTCTCTTCCAATTCCTTCCTCACAGCGTGCTATCGGGACGCACGTATCTCGACCTACCACTTTTACAATACTAGGCAAGCTAGAATAACTGATGCAAGATAGGGAATTTCTTTCCATCTCACCACAGTATTTCTCTTCTATGTCTCTTTGTCGCTCTACTGATTATACTCAAAGAAATGAGACCTCGTCGCATGAATGATCTTGACAAGGCTACGTCCCATTGATGAATCCTGGTAGTAGCCAGATAGTCAGTAACGGACACTATACAGGCTGCGGATGGAACTATAATGGTCAAGGTAGCGAGGATGAAAGTCAAATCGCTCCGGGCCATTCTCCGGAAGGCTGCGTGGAACTTTGGATATCATCCAACCTTTTGTAAGAACACGTTGAAATGACTACTAAGCCCACGGCACTGATTGCTACAAGAATTGAATCTTTACTCTCTGGATGTAAGAATAGGTGTTATACTAGCCGGAGAGGCAAATATATCTTCTGGATCCTGATTACCCCTCTTAATATCCGGCTCTCTAAGCATGTCATCAATCTCAGAATTGCCTGCAACTCCATACACAGTTCCACACTGAGTTCTACCCTGAGTTGAGATCTCGAGGCTGAGATACAGCTTCTGAGGCTCCTGTTTCTCTACTTGTATTGTGCTGGATCCCTCCGCTTTTTTCCCTTTCCTCGGTATACGCCTGAAACACCAACAAAATGCAGAGCTTGAGCCAGCCTTGAAAGAGACTATTTTCCAATGAAGAGAATTGAAACGTACAAGAATCCAACGGTTAAAATCAAAACCACAGCGAATCTTTTGCAATCGTTTATACTTTTTAGTTTACTTGTTCCAATTAATGGTATAAAGAATACATATGTAACGATCACCAGTCCTACAACAGTTGGTATACTAAAGCACTGTGGTCGAGGAACGACCCCCAGCTTCAAGCTGTGTGAATTTCTGGGAAAGATTACCAGTTCCGGCACGGTTGAACAAAACAATGAACGGGGGAATAACTATTGACTGGAGAAAAGGTAATATGCAGCTTTGAGAATTGCAACGCTTTGACTAAAATTATCAAATCAAAATCGGATAAGTGGAAGTCGAATCATGAAGCAGTCGACAACCTATCACAAATCATTTCAAAGTACACGAGTCTCTAGCTTACTTTCAAAGTTGTGCTCTTGTGCTGAAAAATCTTTGCTCGGGTTGGTGACACGGTAGATCTCGTGGGATGACCCGCGAATTCTTTGATGCCCTATTAAACACGTTCTGGTTATCGCTAGTGTGTGTGTAGAAGTCGTTTGCTTATTTGGCGTACTATCCCATCGGTATAATGAGTTATTCTTTCCTTATTTACGAATAGGGCCACCTGTTAAGAATTCAATGCCCTAAATTGAGGCATGTATATAAGTTTTGTGCAATAAAGTTCTTTCTCGAACACAATGCATGGAATTGCGAAGAGTCGAGAAGACCTCTAATGCATTTAAAAGACAGCTTGACTGGCTGAGCGTAATTTGGAAGAAAGGTCAGCTATTTCTTGAATATTGATTGGGAAATTGAACGACTATCATTGATTATATGCAGGAATAAAGCAAGAGACTCATAACTCCATGAGTATGAAGACGCCCGAGTTCCGTATTACGTCCAGGCTGAATCCCATCAGTCCATCTGACCATTTATGGCCATGTTGTCAATAAGAATGGTAAATGCTGGTGAAGGTTTATTCTTATGTATCGAAGTATATCAGAAGAGAATTTTCAAGAGATGGCCCGAAGATTATGATTTGAGTTACTCAACTCAGATAGATGCTTGCTTCATCAAAAAGAGGACTGTTTACAAACAAGAAAGGTAATATATAGATAGACGAACAAATAAACTAAAAAACAAACAAATAAGAGAAGTGGTTACAGAAAACCTTCACAAACACTTTGATGAACCAAGTGTGTATAAAGGATTGGTTATCAATGTTAGAGAATTAGGCATGGTATTTTGAACTCCTTTGAGACTACCCATATGCATACTAAAGTTTTCCGACCAAGACTCGGTAGATCTTGGTGTAGCCAACACGAAGCAAGTCTCATGTACTTTTTATACATTGAGAAAGAATTATAACCATAGTTTTTGGATTCGAACTTAATGCCTTTGAGGGTGAAAGGGATGCTGTTCGTGTTCCGGCTCGTGATTTATGCTCCGTAATTGGTAATTGAAAGTAGCGATTTTAAGATGTCTGAGGGAGCAATCAAAAACTTGGGTGAACTGGGTCTTTATCAAAAACTTATTGCACAGTCTCTAGGACATTCCGAATGTACCATAGCTTTTTCTGGAAATCATACATTTGAAATATCGAAGTAAAGCAACACAAACACATGGTAAAAGCTGGCTGGTACCTACTTCCTACCCGTCCCCCGATCTTTTCTGCCGCCGTCTAGCATCTTCAATCTCTTCTGAAAGCCCTCACCAACTTGCATGCCGCTTCCTCTTGGACCATCCTCGACAGCTCTCTTCCTACTTTTCTCTAGAACATCCTTCATTGCACCTCCGCTACCACTCTTTCTCTTTGTCAATCTCTCAATCCTATCAACACCCTCACCCAAACCCCTCCATTCCTCGCCGCCATATCCAGCATCTTGTCTTTCACCTGCCCTATTCTTCTTGGATCGGTCCTTCTTGCTCTCCTTTGGCAATCTGGTATAATTTTTCTCTTCATATTCTCTTCTCTCGTCATCCTCCTTCTTTTCCTTTTCGCTCTTTGATCTTCTGCCACCGGCTATGATATTCGAACCAATACTAGCCTCTGCAATTGGCGCAGCAGATAATTCCGTGTTGACGAATTCATCCAAGGTTGCGGATTTGTTCACTTTCCTGTCTTTCTTTTCGCGACGTTCGGTGGTAGGCATAGCCGTTGCAGTGATGCGAGGAGGTTTGTAAACACCATCTGAGGAATGTTTCGAATCATCTTCTGTAGCAGCGGCAGGTCTAAGGAGAGAGGAAGGATTTGGCCGGTACTGAAGATCATCAATCTGGGCGGTTTTGAGAGGTACCCCATCCGCATCCGCATCGCTGTCGTCTTCAGAGTCTGAATCGTTTCCATCACTTGGTGTATCATCTTTACTCCCGGGAACTTTTGGTGTAGGCGCAAGAGCTCGAAGTGCATCGTCGGACGCTCGGATTACTTTGTCGATTTGGTATTTCAGACGGCCTTCTAAAGGCCGAACACCCTTTTCAAGGTACACTCGTAATTCCACCAATTTTTTCACCACCGCGTTGTCCAATTCTTCTTCATCCTCGCCGGATATATCATCTTTCTGATTTCTGATCTTGAGGATTATGATAAATACCAAGTTTTGAAGGTAGGATAGGAGCAGCTCATTCTTCACGTCTAAGAGTGAAATACCATCTGCAGGAGGATTGACAACCGAACTTTCTGGAGCTGATTCAATTGCAGAAGTCAATGATTGTGTAAGTGTAGCCAATAATGCCGGAAGAGAAGTTTCGACAGCCATGATCTCGTTGTAAAGCCGTCAATTAATGAAATCAATGGATGATTTTTAAAGAATTTCTGAACAAGAAGATTCCCATCGTATCGATAGGAAATTTAATTCCGAAGGGATAAATTTCTTTTGCGCCGGCGAAATATTAATCCGACACTTGAGGCAAGGCCAGGTTAGTCGAAAAGCTGTCCATCCCCAGTCGCAGGTACGTACTCAAGTTTCCTTCACAGCAAGTCAAAAACAAGTAATTTATCCTATTGCTTCATTTCAACTAAAACCAATATCTCTCTCTCATTTTCTTTCTACGTTGTCGTCAAATTTTTCCCTATATGAGAGAATTTAATAGTCAATTCTTTTGTGGCATCTCATGCTAGATTAAACACAAGGTTGAGGATCAAGGGTTGGATCTTCGTAAGCTCTCCTTTCAAGAACATGTCCGTCCCTATGAATACCTAAATCCTACTCTTGAATCATGTCAAACTCACACATCGCTAGATAGATTCTTTACATCATGCGTTTAAAAGATCTCATACCGTCCGCGGCCGTATTCGCGACTCTGCTCGTCGCTCCACAACTATCCTCAGCCTTTTATCTTCCTGGTGTTGCGCCGACATCATATGCACCCGGCGCCAAGGTTCCATTATTTGTGAATCGACTCACACCTGTCGGTTCTTATGAAGATGGTCAATTGAGATCAGTGGTATCTTTCGATTATTATCATCCGGCTTTCCATTTCTGTAGACCAGATCCAAAGCCCGAATATGTCTCGGAGAGTTTGGGCAGTATCCTTTTCGGTGATCGCATAATGACCTCGCCCTTCAACCTGAAGATGGGAGTTAACGAGTCATGTACACAGCTGTGCGAGGAGAAGAAGTTTGATCAAAGCTCGGCACATTTCGTGAACAGAAGGATACAACAAGGGTTTGCGTTGAATTGGTTGGTTGACGGTCTACCCGCAGGGCAATTGATTGAGGACGAAATCACACAAACGAGATTCTATAGTCAAGGATTTGCTCTGGGGAGCAGTGATCAGAAGGACATGCACTTGAACAATCATTACGATATCTTCATTGACTACCATGAAGTTTCCGCCGGTCAAATGAGGGTTGTTGGCGTTATTGTTCAACCTTCATCCAGGACATTGAATAAGAATGCAGGCGATCCAGAATGCGGTGCTGGTGGACCAAAAGTGGTGCTTTCCGAGTCTGGCGAGACAGCCGTCACATATTCATATAGCGTCTGGTGGCAACCATCAACAACAGCTTGGGCTACCAGGTGGGATAAATATCTCCACGTTTTTGATCCCAAGATTCATTGGTTCTCTTTGATCAACTCAGCCGTCATTGTAGTATTCCTCGTCATTACAGTCCTTTCTATTCTCATGCGAACATTGAGAAAAGACATTCAAAGATACAACAGGCTTGACTCGATTAACCTTGATGACTTGTCAGGAACATCTGTTGCTGTCGAAGACGGAGTTCAAGAGGATTCTGGATGGAAATTGGTACATGGAGATGTATTCCGTACACCAGGACACCCATTGATTTTGAGCGTCTTTCTTGGAAATGGAGCACAATTATTCGTCATGACAGGCTTCACTATTGCCTTTGCGCTGTTGGGATTCCTATCACCATCAAATCGTGGATCTCTTGGTACTATTATGATCCTTTTGTATACTGTCCTTGGGTTTATCGGTGGGTATGCCTCAGCTCGAGTATACAAGTCGTTTGGTGGCGAACAATGGAAGCTCAACATTGCCTTGACGCCAACTCTCGTTCCAGGTATCGTCTTCAGCACATTTTTCCTTCTCAACCTCTTTCTCTGGGCCAAAGAATCCTCTGGAGCAGTACCATTCACAACAATGCTCGTCATCGTTTGTATCTGGTTTTTCTTTTCCCTGCCCCTATCATTTGCTGGTAGTTGGGTTGGGTTCCGCCAACCACCTATCGCTGCCCCGGTCCGTACAAACCAAATTCCACGTCAAATTCCCCCTTCTACGTCCTACATGCGCCCGATCCCATCCATGCTTCTCGTGGGTATCCTACCGTTTGGGGCAATCTTCGTGGAACTCTACTTCATCATGTCTTCCATCTGGTTCTCCAAAGTCTACTATATGTTCGGCTTCCTCTTTTTGTGCTACGGTCTCATGATCATTACGTGCGCCGCCGTTACAGTTCTCATGATATATTTCTTGCTGTGTAGCGAAAATTATCACTGGCATTGGAGGGCGTTCATGACGGCCGGTGCAAGTGCTGGGTATGTGTTTGCGAACGCGATGATTTACTGGATGACAAAACTGCAACTTGGTGGTTTGGCGGGTAGTGTACTTTACATTGGGTATAGTGCACTAATTTCATTTTTGTTTTTCATTCTTACTGGTAAGTAACATTCATTCTACCTCTGATTCAGGATGATACTAAAAAGGAGTCAAGGTTCAATCGGATATTTTGCTTGCTGGGCATTCGTTCAGAAAATTTATGGATCTATAAAAATCGATTAGGGTCTGGCGTGGTCGGGTTAACATTTTTCTCCCTAGTCAAAAAAATGAGATTTTCAATGCTATGAAATTACAGGTGGATGGATGAAAAGGCACTGAGGAGACGGGCGGTTCGCTATTGTACTATAAAGAAGGATTTTTTCTCATTTTCTGAAGCATCTTTGTGTCAATCCGTGAGATACGACGCTAAAATATCCATAGCGAATGGGTTACGAGGTTGGCATGTTAGGGCGAAACGGCGTAAGGGATGTATTGATATGTCGTAGAATTGAATTCTTAGCTTACTATATGTTTACAGAGATTTGAAAAGACTATTTTAGAATGACAAAATCCCACTATCATTACACTATCATTGCACTATCATTTTCTTCTGTTCAGTCGATATTAAAGTTTACAGTTTCTTTAGAAGATGATCACTTTATTCTTTTTGTATTGCTTCAGTACTTAGTATTGTAAAAGTGGTAGGTCGAGATATATGTATCCCGATAGTATATTGTGAAGAGGGAATTGGAAAAGAAAACTGAATTAGATTATATTGTAATATATCATTTATAAATAAAATAGAGTTCATAATGATTTTGAGGTTGATATTATATAGATTCAAATATATATATATAAAAAATTGATTGTTATAAAAAAAAGAAATAAAAGATTTTTCTTTTATATCTAATTATAAAAGATTATATAATTGATTAATTAAAACCTTTATATATTTGATTTATAATTCCAATTTTCTTATATCTTTTCTTTTTAAAAAATATATTTTTTTTTTTGTTTATCAAAGAAAATAATTAATTAGAATATAAAATATACAAAATATTATTATTAACAATTTTTTAAAATAGATATAAAAATTGAATTATAAAAAAGGAGATTTATTAAATTTAAAAATAATCCTTTATTTTTTAACAAATAATTTAATAGAAATTTTGCTTTTATTAATATTTTTATTAATTTTTGAATGTTTAGATTTTGGTTTTGAAAATATATCTAAAAAAAGAAAAGATTTATTAAATCCTAAATAAAGATATTTGAAGATTTGGAAAGATAAAAACAGTCTTTTTTTTGATTTTGAAGATAGTATAAAGGGATCTAGATTTTATTGTTCTTGATCGAAAAAAGGAAATAATCTTTATATATCAAAAGAATCAATAATAAAGTCTTTTTATTATAAAAATCTTCTTTATTTCGATTATATTTTAAAGATCAAAGAAAAATCTTCTAATTCAGATTTAATATAATAAGTAGATTCTTTTCCTTTTTGAAATAATTTCCGAAAAATAAATAAAGGAGTTTTTTCTTTTTGAATAAAGATTTCTAAATTGATAATCTTTTATTTTTTCATTAAAATCTTATTAATGAATTCAAATATCTTCAAATTCTTATTTTTGAAAATAATCTACTTTTGTTTATAAATTGAGTTTTATATAAAAAAAGAATATATTCTTCAAATTTTCTTTTTTTATTTTAAGATTCCGAAAATTGTATATACTTTAATAACTTTATTTTGAAAAAACCTTATATATATTTCTATAAAATTATCTGATTTGTAATCAAATAATATATAAACTTTATTTATTATTGATTTCAAATTCCAAAAGATTTTTTTTAGAAAAACTTATAAAACAAAAAATAAAAAAAGTAATGTTTTTATATCGAAAAAGAATAGTTTTGATATATAAAATCCTTTTTTATTAAATTCCTAAAATACAAAAAGAATAAATTGATTTTGAAATAATTAATAAAGATCTTTCTGAAAAATATTATTTTCTATTTTATTATTATTAATATTTATAATAAAATAAATGATTAATATTATAATCGAATTATAACTCTTAATGATACTAATAAATCAAAGGATTATATTAAATAATAAAACAATTATATAGAAATCTTTTTTAATTAATATTTATTAATAAAATTTATTTTCTTTTTCTATTTATTGAAAGATTTCTTTTTGTATAAATTAATTTAAATTATATTAAAATTGATAAAAGAATAAATATTTCTTAAAAAATTCTTTAATTAAATAAAAATCTTTATTAGAATTAATTGATATTAATATTTAATATTCTTGATATATTTTAATTAATACTTCATCAAATTTGAGAAAATCTATTAAAATAATAATTCTTAAAAATAATTTTATATCTTGATATTTAAATATTAGTTTTGTAAGATTAATAAAAGAATAATATAAGATTGTTTTTTAATTACAATTTGAAAATTGAAGAATAAAAAAAAAAATAAAAATAAAATAAAATTCTTTATTTATATATATAAATATTATAAGAAAGTTGGAATTATAAATCAAATATATAAAGGTTTTAATTAATCAATTATATAACCTTCTATAATTAGATATAAAAGAAAAGTCTTTTGTTTCTTCTTTTTATAATAATGAATCTTTTATATATATATATTTGAATCTATATAATATCAACTTCAAAACTATTATGAATTCTGTTTTATTTATAAATAATATATTATAATATAATCTAATTCAGCTTTCTTTTCCAATTCCCTTCTTACAATATACTATTAGGATATATATATCTCGACCTATCACTTTTATAATATAATAATTTATTATAAAATAATATCATTTTTCAAAAATATTTAAATTAAAAAATAATAATAATTTGAAAACAAATCTTTTTCAAATTTATTACAAAAGTTCTACTCATAAATAATAAAAATATCTTCAAAATTAGTTTCAAGATTTGGGAAATTTATATATTATAAAAAAAATATAAACTTAAGAATTCTTATAAAGATTTATTTTCGAAAGAGTATTTCGAAGATAGGTTTTTTTTAAACAAATTTAATTTTAAAATTTGAAATTATATAAAAAGAATACAAATTTGATTTTAAATTAAAACAATAAAATCTTTGAATTTGTTTAATTCATTTAATAACTATCTATTCTATTTAATCAATAATATAACCTTCATCAATTAATATATACTATTCATCTTCAAATTGAAAATTAGATTTATAATTACAACTTTTCAATTTCCAAAAGGAATTTAGAATAATCTTAAAAAGTTCTTCAAATATATTATTGTTATTATCTAAAATTGTTTTTGAAATGAAATCAACTTCTCGATAATAGAAAATGAATTTATCTAAAATAGAAAAATAAAAGAAAGTTTTCTTTAAAAAATTGAATATATAGTTTTGTTTTGTTTATTTATTAATATTTATAATAATAAATTTTAAAATTAATATAATAATTTGTTTATAAAAGAAATAAAGAATTTATAAAGAATTAAAAATATTAATAATTTCTAACTTCTTTTCAATATCTGGATTTATTTTTAATTCTTTATTATTAATCTTCTCGATTTTGATTTTGTTAATTCTTTTAGAATTTTCAAATATAAATTCTTAAAACAAAATAGAAAAGATTTCATTAGATTTATATTCTTTTAAAAATCCGAATTTGTTGATAATAAATTAATATTTTTTAAAGATTGAATCTTTTTCAAAATCGAAAAATAAAGATTTCTAATCTTTTTTTGTTTTTGGATCTGAATTTATAATAAAGATATATATATTATAGAATTTTATTGAAATATATTTTTTGTAATTATAATTATTCTTTTTAACAAACTTTTGAATTATAAATTCATTTAAGAATTTGATAAAAATCTAAAAATTAAATTATATAATATAAAAGATTATATCAATTTTTATAATATTTCTTTTTAATTCTTTATTTTGAAATTATAATCTTATAAATTCTTTTTCTTTAAGAATCATTTAGATTTTCTTTAAATATTTAAAATTTTCCTTAATTTTATTACAACATTATTCAATTATTTAGATAATATTATTATTTTTAATAAAATATATAATTTTGAAAAAATCTATAATTTTATAAAGTTTTGTTTTTTTAATCTTATTTTATATTTCTTTTATAAAATCTTTAATATCTTTTATTAATTTCAAAATAATATTGAATTATTATTCAAAAATATTATATTGATTTATAAATTAAAAGAAATTATAGAATATAAAGATTTATATAATATTAATAAAGGATTTTTTATAATAAAAAATTATTATAAAGGTTTTAAATAAAGAATTATTTTTTCATTTTATTTTTAATTATTATAAGATTTTCAAATAAATTTGTTTAAAAATTATATTATTTTTAAAAGAAAATAATTATAATAAAAAGAAAATAAATGAAATTCAAAATATAAAAGAAAAAATAGATTTATAAAAAGAAAATTAGAATATTGAAATATTATTTAAAATTGTTTTATAATTATTCAAAAGGAATTTGAAAAGATTATTATAATTTTTCTGAAAATATATAAATACTTTTTTCTTTTTTAAAATTTAAAATAAAATATTGATTATACTTTTTAATCAATAAATAAAAATATATAATAAAAACTCCTCTTCAATATCTTATATATTATCTTATATTTCAAAATCTCGATCAATTTGTAATTATATAATAAACAATCCTTGATTGATAATTGATATTTATTTGAAAAAATATAAATATTTTAAAACTTAGTTTTGTTGATTTATTTATTTATAAAGATCCTTTGAATTATTATTAATAAAAAGATCAAAATATAAAATATACTTTTTCAAATAAATACTTATATAAATTTTATCAAATGAAATATTATCTATTTCTTCAAATATATAAATAAATAATTTAGATAATTTTTTAATAATCTTATAAAATTTGTATTATTTGAAAACTAGTTTTTTGTTTTATAATATATCGATTTTTGATTAAGGATTATAATATAAAACAATATCCCTAACAAATATATTCTTATTTAAAGTTTTATAATCCAAATTATATCAAAACTTTCTATTTTCTTTATAATATTGTTTATATAGAATTGTTTCTTCGATATCATTATCAAATATTTTTAATTATTATACCTTTGTAATTAGCAAATCTTTTTGGATATATATATTTCCCTAATTAAGAATTCTTTAAATAATAGATATAATTTCTAAAGATAATACAATCTTACATTTATAAATTAATTTAAATAATATTTTGTTTATCAATTTATATATTGAAATACAATCAACAAATAATATAATCTTTAATCATTTTAATCATTTATAGTTTCTTTTTGAAAAACAGAAAAGAACCTTAGTAATCAGATAATGATCTTTTTCTACTATATTATTCGTTTAAAAATAATAAATTAATATTCAAATTTTATTGATATTATACTTTTTATAATAAACAAATATAACACCTTTATTCTTAGATTCATTATTTATAATAATTTTTTTAAAAAGATTATATCTATAAATAACTTTATATAAAAACTTGATAATAATCTTTGAAATAATATTCTATAA